CATATGCCACACCCCCTGACATCACCGGAAGTGTGTCAGAAGGCAACACCCACCGCTCAGGCTCCACTGGACTGTTTTGGATTGCTAGCTATGGGGGGGGGGAGAACGTGCAGATCTGCCCTCACAGAGGAGGGAGAGCTTGTACCTGAATAAAACTTGGTCTTAAAGGTGCCACTGGACTGTTTTGCTCTGCAGTTTACCTGGCTGCTTCTTGCTCTGCCTGAGGGCTGCTAGGAGCTTGTTGCATGTGCCCTCCCCCTGGGCTCCGCTCCTGTGTGCTCCTGCAGGAAATGACCCCCCTGGAAGTATCTCCTGTGTGTGTCCTTGCTCCGTGGGACACCTGGAAGGGTTTGTTGTGTTGAAGGAGCTCTGTGTCAGAGCTGCAGTCCTCCGCTTGACACCAGCGGGGAGGGCCCGTCCCCTAGCAGGAGCTCTCTGCATCGTAGGTTGTTGGAACGAGCCACGGCGTGCCCCGAAGAAGACCGGGGGATTTAAAAACAGCCGTTTGCTTTCGGATTACTCAAGCTCAGTACTGTATCCTACTCTGCTGCTCACCCCCATGAAGGAAAGAGAAAGCAGGCTTAATATAGGACAGGGGTGTCAAACATGTGGCCCGGGGGCCACACCAGGCCCCCAGAGGGCTTCCATCAGGCCCATAGTGGAACTGGCTGTCTTCTGCTTCTTCTTCCACTTCCGCTGCTGCTGTTTCATTGTAGCTCTGCAGCTTACAGAAACACACCTCAAGAGTGCAACAGCACAGACATTTTGATGCAGTAATTCAGAGCGAGAGGTGTCAGTTATCAGGCACTGTTAAGTAAACAAAGCATTGCAGGAGTGCTAATGTTTGAAGCATGTTTTTATTTTAAGTAAAAGAGAACCCTTTGTGTTTGTGTCCTTTATAAAGTTCATATATCTCAGCTACCTGGCATTACATTTTATGATACACACGGCCTGGCCCAACAAGGTCTCATTTATGCAGGGGTTGTTTCGTAGAAAAAGAGGTGCAGGAGCTCATTAGCATAACTCATTAGCATAACTTATTTGCATATACCACACCCCCTGACTTCACCGGACGTGTGTCAGAAGGCAACACCCACCGCTCAGGCTCCACTGGACTGTTTTGGATTGCTAGCTATTGGGGGGTGGGGGGACGTGCAGATCTGCCCTCGCAGAGGAGAGAGAGCTTGTACCTGAATAAGACTTGGTCTTAAAGGTGCCACTGGACTGTTTTGGATTGCTAAGCTGTTTCTTGCTCTGACTGAGGGCTGCTGGGAGCAGGGGGTGGGGCTTGTTGCATGTGCCCACCCCCTGGGCTCTGTATTGCCGGAGCTCCCCTCCTGTGCGCTCCTGCAGGGAATGACCCCTGCATTTATGTCAGATCTGGCCCTCGTAACAAATGAGTTCGACACGCCCCGTGTATAGGGTGTTGTTCTCAGGTTCATTTCTGACCGCCCTAATTCAGCCTCTCCGTAAGCTAAATAAATAGGTGTGATGCTTCCCAAAGGAGGGCCGCAGGTCTCCCTTTCTTAACCGGTTCTCCTCTCTCCTTGGCTCGATAGGAAACCTGGAGACCAACCATAACCTGCCGCCTTCTCACAAGTCCCGGAATCACATTCTACGGTGAGACGGAAGAGGCTCGGTCCAGATGCCAGCCAGGGCCCGATGGCCCGGTCAGACCTCCCATGCAGGGCTGTGACCTCCTGAGAAGCTTCCCCCACCATGTATGGTGGCCCACGAAGGGGATGTGGAATCTCCTGCGTTGGCTGGACCGCAACAACAAGAGGGTGCTTATGTACCTGGGAGGATACCTGGATGGGCCGGGCTGGCCTGATCTTCTCACCTCTCAGGCGTTAAGCGGGGTGACCCCTGGTTGGTCCTTGGATGGGAGGCCACCAGGGAAGCCCAGGGTCGCTTGCCTTTGGCTTGGTGGTTCCCGAGTGGTTCCCAGTCAAGGTTTAGCTGTTGGGCGTGTGGCTCGAGGGAACACGGGCCTCACGTGGTTTTGGCAGCCTTCACACGTCAGGCTGTGTCCCTCCTGGGGCCCTTTGGGGGGGGGAAGGGGGGCCAGAACTCTCAAGAGGGGAAATGAAGTTTTCAATCTACTGAAAACTCATGAACTTTTAAGAACATAAGAGGAGCCAATGTTGGATCAGGCCAACACTCTGGGTCACACAGTGGCCAAAAATACCAGGTGCCACCAGGAGGTCCACCAGTGGGGCCGGGACACTAGAAGCTCTCCCACTGTTGCCCCCTCCAAGCACTAGGAATACAGAGCATCCCTTGCCCCATACCGAGAGTCCCTTATCTACACCTTGTGGCTAACAGCCACTGATGGACCTCTGCTCCAGATGTTTATCCAGTTCCCTCTTATAAGAACATAAGAGAAGCCAATGTTGAATCAGGCCAATGGCCCATCCAGTCCAACATTCTGTGGCACACAGTGGCCACAAATACCAGGGGCCCTCAGGAGGTCCACCAGTGGGGCCGGGACACTAGAAGCTCTCCCACTGTTGCCCCCTCCAAGCACTAGGAATACAGAGCATCCCTTGCCCCATACCGAGAGTCCCTTATCTACACCTTGTGGCTAACAGCCACTGATGGACCTCTGCTCCAGATGTTTATCCAGTTCCCTCTTATAAGAACATAAGAGAAGCCAATGTTGAATCAGGCCAATGGCCCATCCATACAGAGCATCCCTTGCTCCAAACATAAGAACATAAGAGAAGCCAATGTTGGATCAGGCCAATGGCCCATCCAGTCCAACACTCTGTGTCACACCGGGGCCAATAATGCCAGGTGCCATCAGGAGGTCCAGCAGTGGCGTCAGGACATTAGAAGCCCTCCCACTGTTGATCCCCCCCCCCCCAACAACCAAGAAGACAGAGCATCCCTTGGCCCGGAGTCCCTGTCTATACCTTGTGGCTAATAGCCACCGATGGACCTCTGCTCCATATGCTTATCTAATTCCCTCTTGAAGCCGTCCATGCTTGTAGTTGCCACCACCTCCTGTGGCAGTGAATTCCACGTGTTAATCACTCTTTGGGTGAAGAAGGACTTCCTTTTATCTGTTCTAACCTGACCGCTCAGCAGCCCACAAGTTCTTATTAGTTTTAAACATTTTTAAAGATTTAAAAAATAATGTTGTTGAAGAGGTCCCAGAACTCCATTCTGGTGCATTCCCCCAAATAAAAAAGCCCTGCCCATCCCAGTCCCAACCAGGACCAACCCTGCTTATCTTCCGGGCAGAGTTCCCCCTCAGCTAAGTTGGTGTGAGCCTGCTCACAGTTTTTTAGCCTCCAGCTCACAGAATTTTGTCTCGGCTCAGGAAGGGCTCCAGGGCAAACTAACTGACGCAGCAGCCAAGTCGCTCGCTCACAACTTTCATGCCGGTAGCTGACAAAACAGAATTTTTGCTCACAAGTCTCCACAGCTTAGAGGGAGCCTTGCTTGTGACCAGTGTTCCCTCTAAGCCGCGTTAGTGTGAGCTAGCTCACAGTTTTTTAGCCTCCGGCTCACAGATTTTTGTCTCGGCTCAGGAAGGAGGGCCCCAGGGCAAACTAATTGACGCAGCAGCCAAGTCGCTCGCTCACGACTTTCATGCCGGTAGCTGACAAAACAGAATTTTTGCTCACAAGACCCCACAGCTTTGAGGGAGCCTTGTTTCCCGAGATCTGATGAGTTCAGGCTAGCCCAGGCCCTGCAGGTCAGCGTTTGCTCATCGTGTGTGTGTGTGGGGGGTCAGAATTAGGGAGGAAGCTTTGAGAACTTTCAAACAGCTTTTCTTCTGCCTGCCCCGCTCTCTGCTGCCGTCCAGTCCCCCGCGTGCACCTCCCAGCCTCTCCTTCAAAAACACCCAGAGCTTTTTTAAAAAAACCCCGCAAACCCTTAAATCTTGGGAGCAGAATGGCGTGTGTAAATGCGGCACGTGTGTGCCCGCTGATCTTTTCCACGGGTGACGTGCAGCCGTTGCACCGCAAGCCCTGAGAATGAAATTGGGCTGCTCCAGCGCACGCCAGAGTATCCCTGCATCCCCACCGGCTAGCGTGGTGTTGGGAGTTGGCCTCTGGCCTGCAGAGGTGGGGCAGCAGACGGAAATAACGGAAGAACCACAGCTGCCGACTCGAAGAGCAATAATTAAACAAGACTGTGTGCGACGCTGTGATAACACTCAAAGCATTTACACGAACGTATCTGTCTGTACTTTTAACAGCACACAAAATTTAATAGAAGCCGTCTAAGTTCAGCCTTTAAAGTACAGAATGCAAAAACTGAAGAAGGTCCAAACGTAATCTTAAACCACAAGGGTAAGAAGGAAGTCTGATAAAGGGCCAATATTAAAAACTAAGTTAAAACGTATAATCTACAAAAATACATGTATTTATTAGAAAGACAGTTAAAAACATAGACGGCCTCAGTGAAAGCCTCGTAAACAAGTAAAGGTGGCCGAAACAGAAGGGCCGACACACATGACCAATGTTCCCTCTAAGCTGCGGGGTCTTGTGAGCAAAAATTCTACTTTGTGAGCCACTGGCATGAAAGCTGTGAGTGAGTGATTTGGCTGCTGCTTCAATTAGTTTGCTCTGGAGCAAGGCTCCCTCTAAGCTGTGGTGTCCTGTGAGCAAAAATTCTACTTTGTGAGCCGCTGGCATTACAGCTGTGAGCGAGTGATTTGGCTGCTGCAAAAATTAGTTTACTCTGGAGCTGTCCTTCCTGAGCGATGACAAAAATGTGTGAGCCAGAGGCTGAAAAACAGTGAGCTAGCTCACACCAACTCAGCTTAAAGGGAAAACACTGCACATGACATGACCAATGCTCCCTCTTAGCTGTGGAGTCCTGTGAGCAAAAATTCTACTTGATGAGCTACTGGCATTAAAGTTGTGAGCCAGTGATTTGGCCGCTGCATAAATTAGTTTGCTCTGGAGCCCTCCTTCCTGAGCTGAGATTAAAATGTGTGAGCCGGAGGCTAGAAAACTGTGAGCCAGCTCACACTAACTCAGCTTAGAGGGAACACTGGACCTGACACGTTTCCGCCCTATTGGGGGCCTTCTTCAGAGGTCAAACAATATTGAGGTACACGTAACTTTAATACATATTGCAGTAAGATAACCAATAAGTGAATATCGGACCAGGAAGAGGAAGGCTAAGCAGCAAGGTCTAAAGACATATGACAAAGATGTTTGCGAGCAGTGTTTCCTCTAACTGACTTCGGTGGCGAGGAAACAGTTTCGAGCAATGCAGTGTTCCCTCTAAGCTGAGATAGTGTGAGCTAGCTCACAGTTTTTTAGCCTCCAGCTCACACATTTTTTTTGTCTCGGCTCAGGGAGGACGGCTCCAGAGCAAACTAATCTCTGCAGCAGCCAAACTGCTCGCTCAAACTTTCACGCCAGGAGCTCACCAAGTAGAATTTTTGCTCACAGGACTCCACAGCTTAGAGGGAGTATTGTTTGTGAGGCCTCAAAAGGTGAAAGTCATGTGTCTGGTGCCAAATGCACAGTTGCTGAATTAGAACATCTTCCAATTTAGGTCCAAAAAGCACCTGTGTGGCTACCTAAGTCACAGCTGGAGTGTCCTCAAGCAAACTGCAGTTTCATCTTTTGAGGCCTCACAAACATCTTTGTCTTGTGTCTTTAGATCTTGCTGCTTAACCTTCCTTTTCTTGGTCCAGTATTCACTTATTGGCTATCTTATTGTAATGTGAATTATTGTTACATGTACCTCAATGCACCCAAAGAGTGATTAACACTTGGAATTCACTGCCACAGGAAGTGGTGGCTACAAGCATGGACGGCTTCAAAAGGGAATTAGATAAGCATATGGAGCAGAGGTCCATCAGTGGCTATTAGCCACAAGGTATAGATAGGGACTCTGGGGCAAGTGATGCTCTGTCATCTTGGTGCTTGGGGGGATCAACAGTGGGATGGCTTCTAATGTCCTGGCCCCACTGGTGGACCTCCTGATGGCACTGGTACTGTGTGACACAGAGTGTTGGACTGGATGGGCCTTTGGCCTGAACCAACATTGGCATCTCTTATGTTCTTATGTTCTTATGTTCAATATTGTTTGACCTCTGAAGAAGGCCCCCAATAGGGTGGAAACACGTCAGGTCATGTGTATTGGTCCCTGTGTTTTGGCCACCTTTACTTGTTTACAAGGCTTTCTTTGGGCCCTTATATGTTTCTAACTGTCTCTCTAATAAACACATGTGTTTTTGTATATTATACATTTCAACTAGGTTTTTAATACTGGCCCTTTATTCGACTTCTTTCTTACCCTTTTGGTCCTTGATTCCAGTTTTTGGGTCAGGTTTGTTTTCCCCTCCCCGCGCCTTACTGCCAAAAGTAATCTTATTCTAACGAAGTTTCCGGATAAGGCTTTCATTTTCCAAGGTCTTCATCGGAGAAGGACCCATTATAACTGTATAAAACATTAATTCAATAGTTAACAAAAGGGGACAAAACCCAGTTATAAATATTTTTTACCATTTTAAATATTTTGAACATTTTTAACAGCACGGCGCCAGAGAGGCTGGCGGGAGCGTCGCCCTGAGCCTCTTCCGCAGCCAGGCCCTTCTAGCTCCGCTCAGGGCAGAAGGGAGCGATTTTGTTTCCCGTTTTGCAAGCCGGCCATGCTGGGGACGCCTCTAGCATGAGATACTTTTGCGCAGGGGTCATTTTGTAGAAAAAGAGCTAGGGGGCTCATTAGCATAAC